CAACTGATGCTGGCAAAAATGTCATCCATGGCACGTTGTAGGAGTTCAGGTGCATTTTTGAGTCCGAATGGGAGCCGCAAGAAGCGATACCGGCCCAAAGGAGTTGCAAAAGTGCAAATGTGCGAACTCTCCTCAGGCAGTGCCACCTGCCAGAAAGCTAATTTCGCATCAAGGAGAGTGAACACAGTGTATCCACTTGAGTGAGCGAAGAGTTTCTCCTGCGTCGGAATGCTATAATGCTGACATTTGATTTCGTTATTCAGCTGTCTAGGGTCAAGGCAGATCCGTAGGCTGTCATCTTTCGTCGCTACCACTACTAATGGGTTCACCCGATTTGTTAGAGCGGTGACCTTTCTGTTGATGTTATCATGGTCCATCTTGTCAAGCTCCGCCTTAACTTTCTCTTTAATAGCTAGTGGAATTTTGCGGGGAGCAGCGATAGGAGGTGCTGTTCCGTCTTGAAGCGTGATTGCCACAGTTCCCGAGAGCTGACCAATTCCAGTAAACACAACCAAAAAGTTCTTGATGACGTCAATAGTGGCCGTATACTCGGCAGTAGGTGCTCCAGCGGCGGTTGAGGCGCTCGACGAGTCCAGGTGCCGAAGCCGCTGTATCAGCTGAAGATCCCGGCATGCCTCAGCACCAGGAATCGGGATAACATTAAGGTACACACCCAGGTATCTCGAGTTGCGACAAAGGTCTCTTGTGTTTGCTTGTAGGATGCAGTCGCTACTGATTGGAAGATGATCACCAGTGTAGGTGGGGACCCTGACGCGTGTGGGTTCTACCTTTGGTAGTCGATTCTATTTTCGAAGAACATGCCTGGGAAGGAAGTTTACGTCAGCCCCTGTGTCCAGTTTGAAGGTGACCTTGTTGTTGGGAACATCAACTGTGGCCGTCCAAGAGGTTGTCTGAACGTTGTTCACCGTCAGATGTCCCATAAAAAAGCCGTCGTTGTCAAAACTGGATATGTGGTTCGCTGGGCCAGATCTATTTTGTCGACTTACAGATGCAAAGTGTCCAAATGTCCCGCACCGAAAGCAGCTGCTCCCATAGGCAGGGATATTTTTAGGGGCATGCACCGTAACACACCTCGAACATGGCCGGGCTGTAGGCGGCTGCGGTGGATGCTGTTGTGGTTCTGGCGGACTTTGTTGCTGTTGCGGCGGTTGTGTCGGGTAATTGTACCCGCGCCGTTGTTTGCGGAGAAAATTGGCATCTCGCCAATTGTTTCGATGCATCTCGTCCACCACTGACCTAGGTGCAGCTGCCTGGAGATCCTTGACATCTGCGGCTTTGCAGGTTGATATTATGCTTTTGTGAGTAAAGTTCTGCTAGCGGAAAAGCCATTCGCGAAGTGCCGAGTCTTGGATGCCAACGATAATTCTGTCACCAACGAGCCGATCTCCCGTGCTTCTGAAGTCGCAACGTTGAGCATGAAGCCGGAGCTTAATCACGAAATCATCAATGGACTGGCCTGGCTTCTGTGTCATCAAGTTAAAGATGGCACTTGCTTGGGTTACGTTCTTGTAAGGTTGGTAGAACGCGTCAAACTGCTCTAAGATATATTCGACCTCGTTGAAGGAGGCTGCGCGCGCGGTTTCTGCGGGTAAGGCTGGAGGCGTTGGAAACGTCTGGTATATCCGACGTGCCTGTGGTCCAAGTACACGTAGGAGAGGCGCTTCCCGTGCTGCCTTTGGTTTCTTGGTGTACTCGCAGGTTGTCTCGTAGATGAGGTAGGAGGACCACTAATCCCCTCACAAACACTAGGTTTAACACACGAGAGAATGCTTTGCCGCCCTCTCCGCCCCCTTCACCTAAGGAAATGTCGGCAAATCGCTAAACAATTGTGTTGCATACGTAAACGCTCTGGCATCACAAACGTTTAGCGATACTCTGAGTTTCCAGACGCCAGACGACTACGTTCACGGCGCTCTTCATCAGATAGTTTAACGCGTACCATGTGTACATATGATAGTTCTAAGAATGAAACGATTCTACCGCTAATTGTGCTGATAAACCTGGCGATCTGTCAGAGCCTTCCATACTCTCGAACTCCTCTCCCTCACTGTATGCGCACCGGTGGTCGAGCTTCTTCTCGCCACATTAATCTTACTAGATAACAGAAAGTATAAAACAGAGAGAGGACGAAACACAGACGAGTACATTCTGTTTCGTCCTCTCTCTGTTTTATACTTTCTGTTATCTAGTACATCGTACCAACACGCTCGTTAGGAATATAACATTAATCTTCCTTGCGTACCCTTCTGATCATATTCTCTCTCCGTTAACCAATCAGCGTCAAGCTCCTCACTCCTCCTCTCCCACCCGTCAGCCAATCAATGTCGGGCCTCGCGGCCACGCTTTTATCTGGGCTTCACGAAATGACGAAGAACTAGCCAAAGAACGTTTCACGTTAAAACGTGTGAAGTGTCTAAACAGGATGCTCCAGAAATCGTGATGCGAGACAACTCCGTCATATGCCGTGCGGTGGTTCGCTCCCATCCGTTCTTTTTGACGGGGCTTATGATTCTCCCCGTCCAAGTCTGCTTGTGTCCTTTACAGGGGCCTTGAGTATGTTCTTCACGTGGGTCCTTACGGCCACTCACGCGATCTGTTGGCCGTCGGTCAATCGCTCAACGCCTCCGCTGCTCTTCAAGTGCCGAAAACGGGAAAGGGAAGGATACGAGGGTGCGGCAGAACAGATAAACAGGCAACAGGCACACCATTGGTAGGTGGCGTGTGATGTCAAGTCTGACGAGTGCCGATGTCACCCAAAAGCGAAGGAGACGAGGAGGATAGTGATGATGTTTGCCTGGTAGTGTCCAAACAGAAATCCGACTGCCGGACTTCAACTTCCATTTAATATGACGAAGTTTTGCCGCCTCCCGATTTTTGAAGGGTCCTGTTTGGACAGCCCTGGACATGGTGTCAAGTTGCTATCTGCCGGACGCAGAGCTGATGCTTCTCAGGGCTTTCCGGTCAAATAGCACCTCAACTCATGGCAATGTGTTGTGACATGATCTGTTTATGGCCCTTGGATTGTTTAGTCTGTCGAGATCCCGTACCGCGGTGCGGCATGCTGAAGTCCACCCAAAGTCAGCGCGTTTATTTTTTATTGGAGTTGTTTTGCAGGTTATGAGCGTTTTAGAAAGGACTGAGACCCCACCAGAGTTGGTTGACCTGGTAAATGATTTTATAGGCATGAAGGAGTTTTAAGGATCGTTACGGCCCCCAGCGAGGGCAAGTAGTGTTTTAGACCCAGTTTCTTGAGCCTGTTTTATGTGTTTTTTTTTCTGTGCGAAATTAAAAAAACCAAACAAAAACAACGAAGACATTTAAGACTGCTAACCTGTCGGAATGCGAAAGATTCGTATACGTAGCGTATGCCTACAAGCTGCGCGTCGCGCTGAGCTCGGCCGTGCGACCTCTCCGGAGTGTGTCCGGGCGGGCTCTGCTCGCTCTGAGGCCTGCCGTTCGCTCTTACCGGCGGCCGGGCCGCTGTGCCATGGAGAGGGCTCCTCTGGGGTGGTGTTCCTTGAAACTAGGCCGCACGCCAGCCAATGGTGTGGCTGCTACAGACTATAGGCTTCGCTCCATGGGACAGGATAATTAAGGTGCCGTATGGCGCGGCTTCAAAAGCTGATAACGCCGGTTCGCTTTATGGGACATTTAACGCTTCCGCATTCAAAAAACTGCGTTGTAACATGCTGGAAAACACTCGATTCATAGTCTGACTGGGCTGGGTTTGATTAACGACTGCCGCAAACACTTTTCTACTGCAATGGCATCTCACCATCCACCCCCCCCCCCCCCCCCCCCCCACACACACACACACTTAGAACCCACCAGTGTCGAGTCTCACAGCCCCGCTTTTATCTGGGCCTCAAGATACGCCCAACACCTGGCCAAAGATCGTTTCATGTTAAAAATACTTTCTCTGGGTGGTTACTCGACAGCTTGGGGCGTATTTAAACAAAGAAATTAGCGTCATTCACTTCACATAATTAACTAAACTTCTTATTTTATTAAATACAACACCTATATCATACAATTTTAGCAACAAGTAATAAAGTTATTCGCCTAATGACTGGCGGCATAATAAATTTTGATTACTTTGGTAAGTGGTGCATCTTGGGGGAGCGAGGGTCTGCCACTACGCCCAGGGGCCACTACCGACCGCCCAAAAAGGACACAGTCCGAAGCGCACAGCAGCGCATTACGAATAGGCGCGGGAGCCTATAAAAGGAGGACACGCCCACAGAACGAGGGAAGACGAACCGAGGGTACGGAGACGTGTCGGTCGAACGCTACGGCCATGTTATACTTTAAAAACTAACAACCCATTCCTCTTGCTCTAAGAAATGTTGCTTCTTGTTATGGAAACTCCGGCTTCGCGTTGTTCCTCCCAGAAGGGCATGCAGCAAGGCAACCCTACCAAAATCTGAAAGACTAGGCTCAATTATATTTTAGAGCAAATTTAAGACGCCGTTATTATGTTTAAGGTGGAGGTTGTGAATCTAAATCAAGCTATGCCGTTATTATTAGTCAAGTGGGGTAATTCTTGATTAACGGCTTTGTTGAATAAATTAAAATTGTTCTCATTCGTGATGATTTCAACAAGCATAAATAGCTCCGAAATTCAACAGTAGCGCGGTGCAATGCAGCTGACAATCGCAATACAAGGAAGAGTTTGTGGAACATGTTACTTCTTTGTTTCGATTATTGCGACACGAATCGGCATATTTAGATATATGTATTATTTCAAATATATTCCTTAACACCTGCCACCAAGTATCCCCTTACCCGCAGGCGAGCTGCCAATGGGTACAATATGGCGCTTACGGCGATTCGTGATTGCGGGGAAATATAAACTTATGTTAAATTGTTGAACTAGTTGATGAAATCAGGACATAGAAAACGTTCTACTGATTTTAATTGTGTGATTTTTTAGTTTTAGTGTTATCGAATTAGTTTAGGACGTATTATTTGTTTTCCAGACCTATGGTCAATTCAATGCTGGCTTATGCACTTTAGATTGCACGGAGGATAACCGTTTTGTCCGTTTGCCGGATGGTGTATGCGGCACGACTGGAACTTTGGTAAGTAACTTCGAAATTGACTTGTTTCCTGCACCTGCTCTCTACCACATGCTTCCGTGGTGGGTCAGCTCTTAATATTTAAGAACTTTAGAAATAAAGTATATTCTCCATTGCTTGTTCAGAGCTTAGAGGTTTCTCTTTAGCGGGAGCGGCTAATGCAACTTTCCGGTGAAAGCCGGTGGCGTTCATACGCAAGAAACCCACGTGATCTTAAGGCGCGCAGTCCCATCGCCGACGCACTGTCGCTCTCTCCCCATCGCCGTCGCCCTTCTCACAGTCACTCCATCTATGGCAAGGCGCGCTATTGCTCCCTCTTTCTCAAGCCTCACCCCCCCCCCCCCCTCCCAATGCCCCCCTTCCCGCCACCACCCACACAGCAGTAGCTCTGAAACCGCAGCCGCCGCAGCCGTAGCCACCAATCTACAATTATTCTGCTAAAAGTAAAGCTCATAAAGCAAATATGCTAAAGCACGTCAACTATAAGCGAATCTCAAAAGCAGATCTGTCGGCAAGAAAACAGCTGCAGCAATCTATTACCGAACTCTTTGTGTGGTCGTTTGCAATTTATAATTTCCTTTTGTTTTGTTATCCGCACGGGGCTTTTTCCGGAAATCAGGTGACTGACTTTCCACTTGTTGAATGTGCAAGGTTTCATGGAAATGCCTTTCTGCGTTTATTCTGGCCCGCCATCCATCGTTCTTTTTCGTTTTTTTTTTTTGTGCATTGGTAGAAATAAAGGCAGGGACTACCGCCCTGCAAAAAAGGTAGCGACGTCTCCCTTCCCCTGAGGCGCGCACACCTTTTTTTAATTATTTCTTGCTTTCTCGCAGTCGTCACGTGGTACATTGTCCCAGGATACTAAAGGTGGCGTATACTACACTTGGTTTAATTGGAAGTCAAGGCGGAACCGAAAGCTCAAGAAACGCACAAATGCCACCAGACAGGCTGTCGGGATGCACATGCTGGACGCGATTGGATTCGCTATAAAAATCACGCACAAAGCAAAATACCGAGAGCCGTGGCGTTGTGCTCCTGGCGTTCCACGATTGAGGACATCGCTTGTAATCTCCGCCGTACTTTGGGGGCACAAGCTTTCGCACTTTCTCCACTAACCTCTCCGCCACGCAGTCTTTAATCTCTACTTTTAACACAGAATGGTGTGTTTTAGAATAGCGTACGCAAATGTTTTCAGTACGCAAATACTAGCCTGCTCGCCACTGTGCATAAGCTGAACGCCGACTGCAGTTTGCGCTTTCCGTGCGCTATTTTAGCGCAGGCTTATTTGCGGAAATCGCGTGCGTACTCGCAGAGTTTTTTCGCTCCTCCAAAGACGATTCGGGATGGGATGTCTAAAGCCAAGACGAGCATAGTTAAAATATGGCGGCTCCCAGGACCGCAGCTTCGGCCGCTTTTGGCGGCGTTGTGACCGTGATGTCGGTGGCATCCTGGCGACTGCGATTTACAAAACAGAACAGCATTTCATTCCCACCGGAGGTGCACGTCACAAACGGTTGGAAAGACCCAGTAAGGTGGGCGACTATTGCCAGCATCTTGCTGCGACTTACTGCTTGCGACGCTCCAATATTTCTCGGCGAAGGTACGGTGTTCGAAGGCCAGTACACGAGACGTCTCTTGCCGAGGCGACGCAAACGGACACGACCTGTCAACCGCTGCCGTCGCAATATCATAGTTAAACAAATCTAAAATGTTACTCTGAACCAAACACCTTGTTTGTTTGTTTTTTACGTATGTGAAGTAAAATTTGTTACCGTATCTTTGTGAAGTTGCATGCGCAAGAAGCTTAGGCTTTCGCGTTGGGGCGGAGAAACAAAATTCTAATACTTTCTTGCGTAACGTGCGCTAACGAAAACGGTAAAATTAGTGCGTGCATTATGTTTGCGTATTTTTATTTTAAAATGTATAATGCGTTCATGGGCTGGATTTTGTCCGAAAAGTGTAACGCTCGTCTGTGACGAAAAGTCAATACACACAGCCCAAGGTAACATAAAGGATACATAGCCAGTAGTATGCAATGCGTAGGTATCCAAAGCATATAGAAGGCATAAATCATAACTACACAAACAAAAAGAGGTACAGTCTTGCACCCTTTGTCGCATATAGTACACCCCAAAGCTTCGGTTCGACGTACGGCAAGCTGATGTTGAGCTTGACGGCCACAACTTTCAAGAGAACTTAATAACGTTGCGATGTGACTTATTAAACAGCTAATGCATCCCTATCACAGACAACAAAAACACAGGTTTTTCAATAGGGCAAAGAAAACCCCACTTACCTTTTATAGTCAGTGCCCCATCGAAAGTAACACTTCAGCCCTGATGTGTTATGGGACCCTCTGAGCCCTTTAAACCCCTTCAACTCATCAAACATGTAGCCCTACAAATCCCTTCAATCCTTCAAACCCCTTCAGCCCTTAGACCCCCTCAGCCCTTCAAACTTTTCGAAACTTAAATGGGTGTGAACATGCATAGACAAAAAATGCAGTTCAAAACGTTATTGGAAGTTTTTTTTAGACATTGAGTTTTACATGCATGTTGTAACTCAAAACGACGATAAGAAACAACGCGTGCTCAAACCCAGGCGCAAGCAGCTGTAGACAAAAGAGATCAGACTAAATAGAAACGAACGAGTTCTTTGTAGCAAAAAAGTACTTATCGAGGTATTCGCAGCCAGGATACGCAACAATACACCGCATCAGTACTAATCACACCTACAGTAATTATCGTGACAGGCCAATAAAACTTGACGGCATACTTACGATGAAGTGACAGAAAACTCCAAATCTAGACGTCACATTGCACAATTACAAGTCAAACCTCCCCTATGTAAAATAGGTCTCAAGGGCCCATCAGCCTTGAAGAATTACGGGACCTCACAGGACTTAAAAACCCTTCACGAATGCCCTACAGAAAAATCCTCCAGGGACACCCCACTGAAAAACTCTTCAGCTCCACAACCCTTCAACCCGTCATCATCCCGTCAGACCCTTCAGCCCAAACCCCTTAGCCCAGTGGTTCTCAACCACTGATGTTCCGCGGACCCCTTGTGGATCAGCGTGAATGTTGAGGAACCCGTTGGTAGTGAAAAAAGGAAAAGTACAGGTTAACTATTATAGTGATTTAATAAATGGATATAACTAAGTGCTAGTGTGAAGTAGACTTCTCTTATAAACATATACACGAGAAAATTTACACGAAAATTGGAACATTTCTTCTCAATCCGAGAAAATACACCTTTTTATTGCCGGGGTCGACTGATGAGGCTCGGCTTGATGGGCCCCTAGAATGCCTTCGCGGACCCCCTTTGAGAAACACTGCCTTAGCACATGAACCCTTTAGACACCCCAATTACTGTGAACCGTAGACAAAAATGCAGTTCAAAACGTTATTGGAAATTTATTTCAGACATTTAGTTTTACATGCATATTGTAACTCAAAAAGACGATAAAAACCAACGTTTGCTTAAACATCGGGCGCAAGCAGCTGTAGAAGAAAGCGTTCAGATCAAATAGAAACAATTGACTTCTTTATCGCACAAACAAATATTTCAAAGTGCTCATAATGCCGCTGGGTAAATTCCTGATATACGGTTGTTCAGCTAATAAAACCGAGCAGGTGCACCTCATGGACACATATACACTTTCAGTAAGCACGTTTAGCGAAAACCACGAACTCGCAAGCAGCACCCGCCACCGTTGAGAAATCCTGAGCACAGCCACGATGTCGTCCCTGATGCCGTCGCGGCGATGTCTTCGGCGTCTTTTTCGCTCGCTGGATGCTTCTGAAGTTGGACGGACGAAGAGGCACTAGGAACAGGCCCGGACAGCGGCCGTAATCCACCTCCTCATGACTTTAAGTGCCATGATCCCGGTGCGCAGGCACTATATGCGCTGGGACGCTGAACCCGACTGCCAGGCTTGTGGCGAGTAGGCCGACACCGGCCACCATCTCCTTGAATGCTCCGAACACGATGGCGCTCGAGTGGTGCTGAAGGCGGCCAACGCCGACACGGGGCTCACCTGCAAAACCAAGGAAGAAACTGCACGGATCAAAGCAGACTAAAAGCCGGGCCCTCAAAGCCATGCTCACCTTCCTGGAGAAAACCGGTTCGCTCCAGACAACCGCGGCGGCGGCGGTAACAAGCAAACCGCCCACAAGCGGAGAGAAAATGGCTATACGGGCCTCCACGGCATCCACACACCACTCTTTCCCGCCGACCACTGGAGAAGGGCAACTCCTCCTAGAAGCCCCGCAGAGGGCACCTGTGAAAACAGGTGTTTGGAGAGTGGCGTCTCCGCGGACCCCGAGCCATGCGGGCTCGCCCGCCCACGTCTGGCTGTGCGTGGCTTTCCCGTGTCCGGGGAAAAGGGCATCCTGGTGGTTGAGCCGAGCCCGGGGTAGGTTTGGACCCTTCGGGGCCCCCTGGGCGAGGCAATACACCACTTCGGCCTCCCCCCTTCCCGTAGACGGGTGTCCTGGCTTGGCCCGACCAAGATGATTCAGTCAGTCGCCACTTCTACTATCCCCTCCCTTCTTTCACTCTTGTCTTCTTCTTCTTTTCACTCTTCTCATTTCTCTTCTTTCCTTTTTCAACTCCTTTGGCGGCAAGGGCTAACCTTGGGTGGCGACAGAACTCTCTCTTTACCCACACTTGGTTATAGCATCCTAGTAGCACTGGTAGAGTAACGTACTCAGACAAGCCATACCTGTTATGAGATGTTACCTATCCCCTCGTTGGACTCCGTGGTGGGTGGTGCGCTACAGATGCCGAAGTTTTTTGCCCTTCATATGGCGCCCCTCCTCTCTAAACCCGGTTCAAGGCAGGCTTCCAAGAGGCCTCGCCCTGAGCCCCATGTCACTGAAAAAGCCCCTGAAATGGGAACATCTCCAAAGTTTTTTGTCATTCACTCGAGCCTCGAAGACAAACCAGTTACGAAAATGTCCTCCTTTGTGGTAGCCAAGGTGCTAGAAAACCTCATCGGG